GATCAGAACCTGGAGTTTAGTTTTAATTAATAAATAAAAGGCAAAGCTGACGTAGTAACAGAGTTGAAATGTGACTCCAGTGCTGCGGCTCCATCCTGTGATGAACATCTGGTCCGTTTTAGGATTCAACCACCAACAGATGAATGAACCAGCTCATGGTCACCAGAGCGCACGTGGCATCTCTGGCACCTCGTGCCCAAAAACATTCAGAGACTTCCAGAAGCTACGGTACCGTTCATAAACATAAACCCTTCATCAGGGGGCGCCGCACGAAGACGTGCAATCCTGCAAACTCAAAGGATGAGCACGAGACACACCTGTAGTTGGGGGGGAGTGGCAAAAGACAACATGCTTCAGGTAAAGAAGACATTTACTGAAACGGCAACAAGAGAAACCAAACAGCATTTTGATAAAACTCATTTCTTAAACACACAGCGCTAACAAGGCCTGTCGCAATAATCAATAAATCTCATGACAAATTAAATTTATCGACCTCATTTTCATTTATCAGCTTCATCGTTTCTTCGTCTCTCTCTTTCTACTGAAGACACTGGATGAGAAAAAGCTCAACTCCGGTTCTTCACTGACCCCTCCCTTTCTCTTTGAAATCTGCTTTAACGTCCAAAATCACGTTTTTGGATCATTTAAAGCAGCTAAGCTGAGAAGCTAAGCTACGAGCTAAGCTGAGAAGCTAAGCTACGAGCTAAGCTGAGAAGCTAAGCTACGAGCTAAGCTGAGAAGCTAAGCTACCGGGCCGACATCGGGGAAAAACCTCCGTCTTGTCGAAGCTGCAAAATTCACGGTTGAAACTCGTGCCTTTGTGTAAAAAGTTGGTTTTTTTTCTGCAAAAAGAATCTGAGAACTTGTTTACTGATTTTGATATTAAAAGCTTTGTGTGAAAAATGCTAAAGAGCTTAAAATTACACCCAGGGGTCCGCCATTTTGAGAACAGAAGAGAGACAGCCCATGTCACGTCAAGGGGCCTCCCTCCCATTTTTCTTAAGAGACGCTGTTCGCTCCCGCACTATCCATCCTTCAGTTTAAAGTCTTATACTGCCATCAGGTGGTCAAAAAAGGTACTACACTCAAAACAAATTAACCAACTTTTCTTCTTAAATTTGACAATTACTAATTATTGTCAAATTTCAAACATTATCGTTTATCGCAATATTTTCTAAGACAATAGCCCAACAAAATGTTATCGGGACAGGCCTAGCTAACAGTGAGCAACACAGATGCGCTAGCTAGCGCTCTGCGTTTCTAACCCCCGCCTGTCGACAACTGCCGGCATTGCATAGCACCAAGCCTGCACTACGTTAGTGCGCTAGCTTAGCGCTTACAAGCGAATTAGCTAGCGCAACTTAGCATTACGCAAGTCCAATGAGAAATTATATCAAGTACCACAGCTCTGACCCCGCCCCCAAAAAAACACCTTAGAATCTAGAGAATTCACGTAAAACGATCAGTGAATTTCACCGAAAAGCGACGAGTTTGCAGGTCCGGACGTGGCACGTTAACGAGACGTTGGTAAAAAAAACTGCCAGGATGAATCCGACTGAGCGCACCTGTGAAAAGGTTCATCACCGAGGATCGATGAACTAATCCAGAGGATCGATGAACTAATCCAGAGGATCTCTGAAGTTAATTCATCACGCTGTGAACACGTCAACGCTCCACGTTAACCCGGCCAAGTTCTGCTGCACGTCTGAGCGGGTCGAGGCCGGCGTCGTCTGGGAGGCAGCACGACCGACTGGTCCGGGCGGCCATTTTGTGATAGGAGCTTCACTTCAGATTAGACTGGAAACCAGTTTAGAAACCAGGAAACACTCCAGAACCTCAAAACGACTTTTTCTTCTTCCTACGAACAAAAACTTTAAGTGAAATTAGGGGATTAAAAAAACAGAAATACACCGGATGGAAAATGTTAAGATTTTATTTACAAAGTCCTTTTTGTATGTTTTTATGTATTTAACTTACAGAAAGTAACAAAAAATAAAAAAGCAAACAATCTAAACACGTCAGGCGTGAAGAAACATCTGGATCTCCACGGAAACGAGAAAAGTTGGAGGGAAAGGAGACGTTTCCTAAAAAATAAAACACAAGTAAACAAACAAAACAATTCTCCGAAACAACAAAAAAACAATTCTTTTAAAAAGCTTTGCTGCCAAAAACAAACAAAAACAACAGTTTGCCCTGAGCGCGCTCGGATAAAACGAGGAGTCGAGGTTTGATGTGGACTCGTTTTTTTAATACTTCTCTTAAAAAGCTTCACGTTTGTCCCGGGTCCAAACGGACCCAACAGACTTCCTGGTTCTGGTTCTGACCCAGCACCGACAGAAAATAACAAGAAATTTAAAGTTGACGTTTCATCAAATTAAAGGTTGAGATGACTTCAGTTCGTTCAGGCAAACAATAAAGTTTTGACGTTTTGAATTCAAAAATCAGTGAAATGTTAAAATAAAAATCTGCTTCTGGTCTAAATTCATGTTTGAAGAAAACGACTCGGAGAAAAGAAGAGCGCCGAGTTCGGACACGCCGGAGGATTTATCACAAGAGTTTGATTTATTCCTGAGTTCAGAACAAGAAGTCCCACGGAGGAAACGTTTCAGATCGTTCTGCAGGTGGAGGAACGTGAGCACGGATGACGGGAAATCAACAACAGACGGTTTGAGGCAGGAAGCTGCTGAGGACACAGGGGCGGGGCTTAGTCCTCGTCTTCATCGTCCTCGTCGTCCGGCTCCCTCTTCCTCTTCTCTCCTTTGGCCAGAGACGAGTCCTCGTCTGAGAAGAAAAACACGGAGTCAGCTTCAGGCAACAGAACCAGAACCGGCCGGTCGGAACCAGAACCGACCGGTCGGAACCAGAACCGACCGGTCAGAACCAGAACCGACCGGTCGGAACCAGAACCGGCAGATCGGAACCAGAACCGACCGGTCGGAACCAGAGCTGACAGATCGGAACCAGAACTGACCGGTCGGAACCGACCAGCTTCAGGTTCTGAACCCACTCCAGCAGTTTGAACTCGATGAGTCGTTTCTCAAACAAAACCTTAAAATATCGTCTGGTCTTAAAAACAGACTTCGGTTGTTTTTCCAATAAAAAGTTTTAGACTTCATAATTCAAATATATTAAAAATGGCCTTTTCAAGTGTTCAGAACTCTGTTGATCAGAACTGAAGCAGTTTGGACCTGCTGGACCCGCTCAGCGACTGATCATTTCCATCAGGACTCACCCTCGTCCTCCTCGTCTTCGTCCTCCTCCTCACTGTCCACGTCTCCGTTCAGCTCGGCGTCCTGCAGAGACAAACAGTTTTCAGCTCGTTGACAGAACCCAAACAGAACCCGCGTGGGTCCAGGTCCACACACCAACTCCCTGCTGGACCCAGAACAAGAGAAAAGAAAAACTGCAGCTTCGATTCTGGAGTCGTGGCTGATCTTTCACAGGTCATCACCTCTGCAGCCGGCCCAACGTTGACGACGTAGTTCAAGTGTTTTAAGAGAAAACTCCAGTTGTTAATATTTACATGGATCTAGTTTTATTTAGACCCAGAAACATTCCAGTCGGTCAGAGGACAGCTCCTGTAGACCAGGGGGTCCAGTCCTGGTCCTGTAGTCCAGGGGGGTCCAGTCCTGGCCCTGTAGACCAGGGGGTCCAGTCCTGGTCCTGTAGTCCAGGGGGTCCAGTCCTGGTCCTGCAGGTCTGACTGAAGTTTGAAGTCAGGTGTGTTGGAGCAGAGGAACCTCCAAGACTCTGGCTCTCCAGGACCAGGACTTTCGACACCGGACTGAGACAGTTTCATGAACGTGTTCTAAGTTCCAGCAGGAACCTGAGAACGTTCAGGAACCTCCTGGAGAACGTTGAAGCTTCTCAGGACACTTCCTGTTCAGAGTCACTTCTTGTTCAGTCACTTCCTGTTCTGAGTCACTTCCTGTTCAGTCACTTCTTGTTCAGAGACACTTCCTGTTCAGTCACTTCCTGTTCAGAGTCACTTCCTGTTCAGTCACTTCCTGTTCAGAGTCACTTCCTGTTCAGAGTCACTTCCTGTTCAGAGTCACTTCCTGTTCAGTCACTTCCTGTTCCTGACACCATGAAGCGCAGCTGGTCCTGAGTTCAGGATGAAGTCCTCAGAGCACGTGTTGTGTAGAACCGACAGACCGTCACTTGGCTTTGGCGGCCATTTTGAATCAGGCTGACTTCAAACAATAATCCCGACTTCAGTGATCACTGTCATTAAACTCCATCCTCCTGTTCATGAAAATATTTTGCTAACAGACACGTGACTCACCTCGTCGTCACCGCTCTCGTCATCGTCATCCTCTTCAGCCACTACATCTTCCTCATCCTCCTCTTCCTCGTCCTCGAAGTCCTCAGACTCTCCGTCTTCAGAGCAGAAACGTTGAGATCAACTGAACATCGTTAAAATTATTCAAACGCCTTTCTGGGCCGGCGCCGCCTCACCTTCCTCCTCGTCATCGTCGACGCAGTCCGCCTCTCCGTCCGAGTCCGACGCCTCGCAGTCGTCGATGTCGTAGCCGTCCAGGTAGGTGAGCTGGGGGAGGAGCCTAAAGATGGACTCCCTGTAGTCGCCCAGGTTGGTCACCTCGCAGTTGAACAGGTCCAGACTCTTCAGCTGAGGCAACTTTTTCTGAAACCAACGAGACGATCAAAGTTCACCCGCGAGCCGGAGCAACGTTCACATGAAGGCTCGAGGAGGCTCCATCCATCGAGAAGAAACGCTGCCTCAGAAAACACAAACAGCAGCAGAGTGAAGGAGCCCTGCAGCTCGTGAACCCGGTCCGAACGGTACCGGACGGTAAAGGTTCCTCCAGAACCACGTGACCCGTTCTGTGTTCTCGTCTTAAAGACACCGTTAACAATCCTAACGTACCTGAAAATCTAAGTTTGTAACAGACGATGCTTCAGAATTCTTTTAATTTTACTCTGAAATTCACATTTCTCTGATGGGAAATCCCTTCGTATAGTGTTTGCCACCACTGTGAAGCCTGATGACATCACTTCAGACCGATGAAAAACCAGCCTTCTTGTAAACAAATCCAGCTGCCGCCGGGCGATAAATCTCCGTTCTAAGTTTTTCAGACGGAGGATCTGAAATCGGTCGCGGCGACTCGTTCTGCCGACTCCGTACGATATTCCTGCAGGAAGTGCTACAGCCACCTGCTGCTGTGTGAATCAAAACCGACAGCCGACTAAAGGAACAGAAGCCGTTTTAGCTGTGCTCCGACCAGCCTTTAGCTGGTCGTAGACTCGACTCCTCCAGGTGTTAGCAGAAGACCCCGCCCACTGTTCGGCCCAAACCCACCAGAACCTTCCTTCAAACGGCACCTACCAGCGGCTCCAGCGTGCTCAGGTCTTTGAACTTGTTTCCGCTCAGGGTCAGGTGTGTCAGGTTCACCAGCCGCTCCGCCAGAACCTCCAGACCGCCCGATATCCTGTTGTCACTCAGCTCCAACTGGACAGAGACCAGAGACCGGGTTAAACCCAGAGATCCAAGAGGACGTCCTGCTGGACAGCTGTCCTCTAATTAAATTAAAGATCACAGGAATCAAATTTCATCTCCATCCTGAAGCTGGACTTCAATCAGACGAAGTCCAACTACAGGAAAATAACTTAATCCAATGGTTCCCAACCATGGTCCTTGAGGAACACCATCCTGCATGTTTTAGTCGTTTCCTTGCTTTGACACGCCTGGTTTGAACAAGCGCGTGATTAGACCTGTCACGATAACAAATGTTGCTGGGCGATTAATCGTCTCAGAAATTATTGTGATAAACAATAATATTGTTTGAAATTTGACGATAATTAGTAATTATTGACGATAATTAGTAATTATTATCAAATTTAAGAAGAAATGTTGGTAAATTTTTGTGTAGTAACTTTTTTTTACCACTGGATGTCAGTATAAGACTTTGAACTGAAGGATGGATAGTGAGGGAGCAAGCAGCGTGTCTCTTTAAGACAAATGTGAGGGAGGCCCCTTGACGTGGCATGGGCTGTCTCTCTTCGGTTCTCAAAATGGCGGACGCTCTGTGGTTTGAGCTCTTTAGCATTTTTCACACAAAGATTTTAATAAAAAAATCAGTAAACAAGTTCTCAGCTTCTTTTTTCAGAGAAAATCAACTTTTTACATGAAGGCACGAGTTTCAACCGTGAATTTTGGAGCTTCAACAAGACGGAGGTTTTACCTCGAGGTCGGCCTGTTAGCTTAGCTCGTAGCTTAGCTTCTCTGCTTTTAACGAAACAAAAACGCGATCTTGGACGATTAAACAGATTTTAAAGAGAAAGGACGGGGTCAGTGAAGAACCGGAGTTGAGTCTTTTCTCATCCAGTGTCTTCAGTAGAAAGAGAGAGACGAAGAAACGATGAGGACGATAAATGAGGTTGATAATTTTCATTTATCATGCGATTAATTGATTTATTGATTATCGCGACAGGCCTACGGGGGATTAACGGGCTTCTGCAGAACTTGAGGGATCAAGTCACTGAATGAGGCGTGTCGGAGCAGGA